ATATTTGGACTATCGCAACGAATTTGGAATGAATCGCAACGCGAAATTCGCCTATCGCAACGAATTTGGAATGAATCGCGACAGGCGAAACGCGAACTTCGCCTGTCGCAACGAATTGGAATGAATCGCAATGCGAACTTCGCCTGTCTCAACGAATTGGAATGAATCGCAACGCGAACTTTGCCTGTCGCAACGATTTGGAATGAATCGCAACGCGAACTTCGACTATCGCAACGAATTTGGAATGAATCGCAATGCGAACTTCGACTATCGCAACGAATTTGGAATGAATCGCAATGCGAACTTCGACTATCGCGTTGCGAATATGGAAACTGATTTGCGATACCCGAGATCGCGTTGCGAATTATCGATCGCATTGCGATTTACTTGGTCATTTTGGCAAATCCAAAAAAAGTTGGTCAAAATCGTATATTACAAGGCATTTTCGGTCACTGAGGTTATTTATATTATTACAGAAATTTTAAACTACCTGATGCCAGGATCACGACCGGTGCGAAGAAAGCGGACGGTGGTGGCGAACGGCGGTGAAGAGAGACGCGGAGTGGAAGAAGAAGAATGCTGGCGTAAAACGGCGTTTGAGAAGGATGATTGTTGGAGATATCTAAGAGTCCTAACGGCGTTGTTCAGGGAATTCACTCTCCAAATCTGACCCATTCTAATGTTGGGCTATTCAAAATAATAAAAGAAATCAAAATTGTAACACAAGAAAATTAGAGACAATATTCATCAAGAAAACCCATTAATAAAATAAAATATTAAATTCAAAGATATGAATAAAACGAAATATTCAAATGAGAATGACGTTCAACATCAAAAGAATTAACTAATTTTCATAAAATTTTCATCTCTGTCGAGACGCTCTACTAAATCATAAAGGAGTAGTGAGCGAACTAAATAGTTTAAAAAATTACTTTGTTACATAATTTTGATTATATCGGTAAACAATATCTTACCAAAGATATAATTTAACAATACGTAACTACCTACAAACCAATTAGAAAATAAATATTGTGAAGATGTTTGTGCAAGCATCAACACGACTTAGAGGTATGCGAAAACATGCCACAATAGTAGAGAAAAAGTGTGTAACAAAGACATAAATCCTTATTTAAAATTGATTAAAGAAAAATAAAAGGATTTAGCATGAAAAAGAACAAGAAACATAATAATCATCTGCGGTCAGCAACCAATATTAAGATTAGTGCCACCATCGACTAAACAAAAATGAAAGGAAAAGAGGAGGGCGACACAAAATATTAAGAGACAAAATAGGTCAGAGAAAAAGAGAGTTAATCATTCTTAAAGTTGATAAACGGGTACAATTTCGTAGATTTTACATTGCATCGTGGACGTGAGTGGATGTAAAAAGTCATACCAGCCGTGGGTAATGGGTAGATGATGGGTTTAAGACCTTATATGTATCGCATCCGCACGCTACATCCTCTCCACATTCGCCTTCCCACTAACTACCCATTGTATAAATTTTTGATATTATGAATTTATACATAATTTTAGAGACTATTCTGTAAATATTAAAATTTTATAGGACATGACTTGTAATTTAACCAAATGTTAGGTATAAAATTTTTAAGAATTGAAGACTTTAATTATATGTTAGAGTATAAACATTTTATAGGACATGACTAAGGATGGTTCTATATGTTTTTAAGGTTCAGGTTCGAGTTTGAAGTTTCAATCGAGTTAAGTTTGATATTTTTTTTATTTCGAGTTTTTTCGAGCTTTAGTTCATGGTTTTGAGTTCGAGTCGAGCTTGAAATTTTAGACTTACGAGCTTTCGAGTCGAGTCAAGCTCCTCAATCCTTGAGCTCGACTCATTTACAGCCCTAGACATGACTTGTAATTTAACCCACAAACTAAAAAAATATGTGTTTGTCATTTATATTTTTAGACTTTAATTATATATTTTATTATGGTGTTTTATGTATTCAACCCTTGATTTATTTCAAATTTTATGTTAATCCTTAACTCAGTTAATCGTTGGTTTACTATATTATGCTTCTTAATTGATGTATTTGTTTTATGTTTTTTTTGTTTATGTAATATGTTAGACTGGTATGAGCATATACAAGATAGATGGTGGATATCTAATCGGATAGTAGATTTAGAGGTGGATTTGAGAACATACTTACGCGGGCATGTGTTAATTTAAAAATTTTATCCGTGGAAGATGAGCAGGTGTTAATTTAAAAATTTTAAAAATATGTTCACTTAATAAATGAACGAACACGAACTGAGGTGTGTTCAGTTCATTTATGTCAAGCTCACTCATTCATTTATGCTCATGAACAAACTCGTTTACCTGATTCACTTTTTCATTCTATTTTTTACATTTTAAATATTGGTGAAGATAAGGTTAAATAGAACACATGATAAAAGTTGTATTTTAAATTATGAATTTTAAGGAGTTTAAGCCCTAGTGGCATAGTTTTATCATTTTTCTTTAGCTCGCAAATGAAATTAAAATCGAATATATAAACAAATAATAAACAAACACTAAAACAATACTAAACGAACATAGACACGTTCGTGAACATATAAACAAACACGTTCACAAACATTAAACGAATGCTAAACGAACATGATTATAAACACGTACGTGAACATATAAACGAACACGTTCGCAAACATTAAACAAACGCTAAATAAACATGTTCATGAAAATATAAACGAACACGTTTGTAAACATTAAACCAGCATGTTCATGAACAATAAATAAATGAACACAAATACCCTCAAAAATAAAAAAACGAACATGAACACGATATTGACCTTTTACTTCTTTGGTCTAGGTAGCTAGTTTTTGTGTCAATGATTATAATAAAATCTTTTAATTATAATTTAATTTACGTTTACGATTAAACTTGCAAATCTCCATTGTAATTCTTAATATTTATATTTTTAATAAAATTAACGGTTTTCTATATAAAAAATTCAAACTGACTTTTAAGGCAATAATAAAATCCTATTTTATCACAAAAATCGTTTAGGCAAAATCATATTATTAATTGGACTTTAGTAATTTAAAAAATTTAAACATACTTTTAGGTAATAATAAAACCCTATTTCACCTATTAAGAACATAATTTTCGTATATTTATATTGGAAATAGTAAATTCAGAAATTAGAAAACAGATAAAGGTTAAACCGTAGTGGTTTTCTCCATCATCCCCCCCACTCTCTCTCTCTATTGTTTCTCTTTATAATATGTGTCAATTTCTATAAATTAGATCGATTTATTTTCTTTGATTTTATTTAATTGACGGTGATACCAGTTTTAATGATGGTTGTCAATTGTCGGTTGTATTTTCTTTTAATTTTTTTATTTTTTAATAAGAATAATTATGTCTTTGTGACATGTTTGTCTGTAATTTTATGACACGTTTTTCTCTATATTTTTGTAGTTTTCGGTCGTTTGACCGTTGTTTCCGTTTATCTTTTTTCTCAGGATTGGATTTGGCATCACCATAACTAATCAAGATGACATTTATTTGTTATCATACCGATCTTTTCTGCTTTGAATCTTCGGGTTGATTTATATACGTGTTTTGCGTTCGTGGATAGTTTTCTAATGTCGCTTGACTTTGATTTGCGATTTGTCGGTGGTCTTTCAATAAGCTTCATTCCTTCTATGGTTCATTTGTCGATGCAGTTATATTTTTTTTTGTATCTTTATTTTGTTCGAACGTTGGTTAGGTTTTTAAACCTTTTCCTTCTTTGGTCTAGGTGAGTGATTTTTGTGTTAATGGTTGTATAAAAATTTCTTAATTATAATTTAGTTACCTCATGTTTTTAACGTTATATTTTTAAATGTTTGGACTGCTACCGCCGTTAAATTTGTCGTTAAATGAACGTGTCGCTTTTATAAAATTTTAAAAATTTAGATTTTTTTTAAAAAAAATAAAAATTTCAAAATTATTTAAACATGACACGTGTTACTTAACGATGAAATTTAACGTCCGTTATGACCGAGACATGTAAGATTGGAAAGAACAAACATCAAGATTACAAAAAAAAAATTAAAACACCTACACAGAAAAAACAATAGTGTGATTTGGACACTTATTTTTTATTACCAACACAACACCTCGAACAATTAATAATTTTCCTTCCGAGTATCACAAAAAAACTACGGTTTTAATCGCGTTTCTAATGCACAAGCATCTCCATATTAGTTTCAAAAGTTTAGTAACACCATACTCGTACAGCGACGAACAGCCATCGGCCTATGAAAACACAATAAAATAAAGGCAGATTTGCTGCCAGTTCCAGTACTCTTTTGGCTGCTGAATCATTTCCAAATTGCGGAAAAGAGGCTCCAACACCAGCTGTTCCAAGCTATCCGTCTGATTTTCTCGGGAAAATTCCATTCTCAACTTTCCCTGTGGTCACCACTCATTTCATATTTTGCATCCGAAAAAGACTTGATCCATTTCATTATCTGCACTACATTTTCACGACATATGATATAATACATCCGTCTAGTTTTATCTTTTTGTCAAATTTCTAGCGATTTACAGTTTAATAGAGAATAAATGCTTTTGGTGGACCTGTGTAGGATTCACCATATGGGGGGGGGATGTAGGTAGATGAATAAAGCTAAGAAAAAACGCCATTATTAAACAGAAAGTTTCTTAGTTGAATTCCCCAGAAGAGTAAATTTACTGTTTAAAAGAGTGGATTACATGTTTCGCTTAAAGATGTGTATTATGAGAATATGCCAATGACTGCCGCACAGTTCTCTGACTCGTAATATATATGCCATGGCATCTGTTTCAGACTTTTTCTCTGCATTTATTTCTTCTTTCCTGTTGACCCGCTTCGGGCTTTGTTTTTGACTCTTTTTGTGTGTGTTCATTGGGAATCAGAAACCGAAAACTGTTGACACTGACAGCCGTTCCCCGCTCTCTGTTTCGAGTTTAATTTTGGGCTTTTAGTAGTTTTCCCTCTCTTTCAGTAGCTATTCGTATCGAGATTTTTCAGTAGGAGAAGGAGGACCGGCGATGGTGGCAACGGCGAAGAGATGGTTGGTTTGGTCGCAGATGGTGGCCAGCATGTTGGCGGTGCAGGTCTTCGCCACCGGACAACAGCTGCTTTCTAAAGTCATACTGAATCAAGGAACCTTCATCTTTTCATTCATGGCTTACCGGCATTTGGTCGCCGCCCTCTGCGTCGCTCCTTTTGCTTTCTTCCTCGAAAGGTTTGCTCCCCCGTCCCCGTTACAATTAATAGTATTTCCATTTGTTACATGTTATTGTTTTGCTCCACATTACCGGTCCGCCATGATTGCAGAGCTGATTCAAAGAAGCTGGCCTGGTCGACATGGTTCTGGCTCTTCATCAATGCCTTAACCGGGTAAGCTGCTAGTTGATTCCCAGTTTACTTAAGCATTTCGAATGATCTGGGAACTCTACCTTGTTCAATATGGTATAATTAAGGTCAATATAGTTAGGCTTTGCTTTCTCAAATTGATTTAAAAACTGTACAATCATTTTACATGATAAAATTTGTTAGCTACAGTCTACAGAGCTTTAAATAAGCAAAAATAAAGTAAGAATTCGAGAATCTGTGTTGATTTGGTCCAACACAGAAACCCATCATTTCATATCGATTTCTGATGACTGTAAAGGGCTGGTAGGAGATCACCATCAAGTTCCATATCTGGCTTTTTCCCAGAAAAGCATAAATTAGGCATTCCCTTTCCTTTTTCCCTTTGCCAAAGCCATACAAATTAGAAAACGTAAACTTATCTGAATCACACGGACTATTGATTGTGGATTAGGATGAATTCGATATCATAGGCAAGTCATGTTATATAGTCTTAGTTCGGTTGATATCGTTATTGCTGTTGTAACGTCTTGAAATATGAGCTACGTGTCTAGTTTTTAATCATCTGCCGAAAGATGAAAAAGAAAGCTGAAGATATGAAATTCATGAACAAGTTTTTGAACTTTGCATAAATGTACTTTAGGAATTGAATTAAAGCGATAAAGGATAGGGAGCAATAGTAAAGATGACCTAAAAAGCTTAAAATGCTTCCCGCTTTTTAATCAGCCAATCAAAAACGTATTCAAGTTCAACCAAAACAACTTTGTGCTTAACTCAATGATCACGCAGGATAACAATGGCGATGGGATTGTTTTATTATGGTCTTCGAGACACAACGGCAACATATTCCACCAACTTCCTGAATGTAATTCCGATCGTCACCTTCGTCTTCTCCATCCTTTTACGGTAATGAATCGTTTAAAAATCTGGTCTTTCGTTATTGCACATTAAAGGAACAGTGTGTGAAACTGTACAACACTGTGTCTTTCGCAGAATGGAGAAGCTGGGACTAGATAGCAAAGCAGGGAAGATTAAGACGATGGGTGCAATTATATGTGTCGGGGGAGCGCTGACGACGAGTCTTTATAAGGGAAAAGAATTCAACCTCATTCATGATCACCGCCATTTCCACTCACCTGCTGCCATGGAAGTCTCGAGCTCGAACTGGACTCGAGGAAGTTTCATGCTTGTTGGTAGCTGCTTGTGTTATGCTATTTGGTACATATTGCAGGTATGGATTGGAATCAGCTACGTGTTACCCCACTAAGTCCATTTTGTCCTTCAATTTTGTTCATTTGAGTTTACCAACTTCAAACAGGTGAAGTTGCTCCGAGTGTTTCCGTCGAGATACCGGGCAACGCTGATAACATGCATCATGGCGTCGGTCCAATCGACAGCAATCGGCCTGTGTTTAGACAGGCGAGAGGCTGCTTGGAGATTAGAGTGGAACCTGCAACTAGTAACCATAGTTTACTCGGTAAAGTAATGGCGCTATTACATTTCCCAAAGTTTTTGGTTACACACTGATGTACTTAAAATATAAGATTCTGGTTGTCCAGGGAGCACTAAGCACGGCGGCAACATTCTGCCTACTGACATGGGCGATTGCAAAGCGAGGCCCTACTTATGCCCCGATGTTCAACCCGTTGTCCCTGATATTCATCGCGGTATCGGAAGCTCTGTTACTCGGAGAACCGATGAGACTCGGAATGTATGTTCTTCTGCAAACTCCCTAGACATTCACATATCCTTCTTAACATGCACGCACTCACATTGTTACTGCAATGGATTGGTGATTTCAGCGTGGTAGGCACGGTTATGATCATAGTTGGCCTGTACTCGTTCCTGTGGGGAAGAAGGAAGGAGTCGAAATTGTCGGGCAAGGCAAATGCGGGAGATGAAGCATCACCGAAACCAGTTCCCGGATCGGAAGATATGCAGTTGAAGACCTATGAAACATCACCTGCTAATGTCAAAAGCGTTTATGCTGCCATGGAAGAAGGAGGTCTAAAAGTTGGTGTGAAGTCCTGAAATCACTAGGAGCCTCAATTTTGTAAAGGCCTAATTCAATACTGGGAAAAATATTATAACCAACCTTAATTAAGAAACTAGGAAACTAGCTAGGCTCTCGGATTTCAGAAGTATTTGACCAATAAAATTCAAGGGCTCTTTATTCTACATGATTATGTTTTTATAATATCGAAATCATATAAAGGGTTAGCGAATACAACAATTTGTCATTATCATATGTGATTGTTTGTTTCTCTATTTAGTTGTGTTAGAGGTCCATATTCCTTTTGTCCCATGCACGCATGTGTGTCCTTGTGATGGGATAATTAGCAAATCACATGATTCGACAATCGCCACTAGGCTTTTTATGGAACTTTAATAATGCATAATAATAAGTCATCTCCATCATCCCCCTCCCCTATAATTATATAAGTGTAAGTTACGTACTTTGTATCTAAACTATAAGTTTTATTTCATTTTAGTACATTTGTTAAAAATGTAACGTTAAGTTTTGAAGAAAAAAAATGAAAATTTAGGTACTAAAACGGGTCAAAACTAATAGTTTGAGTTCTAAACGCGTTAAGTTTTTAACGACATGGTATTAAGATGAAATAAAAATTAAACTTTAGGTATAGTTTTAAAAAAATTGAAAATTTAGATACCAAAATGAGCCAAAGTTAATAGTTTAGATACTAAATACATAATTTACCCTTATATTAAAGCGTTAATTATGTTAATAGTTGCTAATTTATATGTTTATAATATGATCATTTTGTTTTAATAATACATATTCTTTTTAATAAATTCTAAACCTAATTTTAATTATAATTAGAGAGAATAGAAATGAAAATCTCCAAGGGAATGAATGGGTGCTCAGCTTATGACCTAAGAATGTATGAGGCAATAAAGATGAACAGTTTAACCAGAGGTAATTAGAAAGTAGCATATGTTTTAAATAATCTCAACCATTTGACACTACACGTTCAATCACTTTGCTATAATCGCTGGTATTCGAACCCGTTGGTACTCGAACCCGAAACCTTTAGGAATAAAAATCATTCTTTTAATAATCAAGGTAATATAGTTATATAATACAAATATCGTTTACTATAGCATTTATCAGTTTTAAATTAACTGTTAATAAATGATATAAGAATTAAGTATTAAAAAAATGGGATCGTGCAATTATGAGATATAATATTGTTAGGAATTAGCATAATGGATTTGGAAAAGCAAGCGATGAGTGTAGCGGCGGATTCAGAAATTTTGTCTAATGTAGGTATGTATATATATATATTAATGAGGTATGCATAAATAAAATTTCATGATAGACATTATCAATAATATATGTCATAATCGAAGAAAATTCAGATTTAAAGGTAATCATAATATTTGTTCAGGATGTGCACATTTAATAAAATAGATGACTAATCGAAGAAAATTCGAATTTTAATATCCACCCTCGGCCCTTAATACACCCGCTACTGGATGGGTGGTCAAGAATGATTGCTTTATACTCAAACATGCATTGCATGTAGATTGTGCTAACACCCCATCTAAAGACCCCCCCCCCCTCATGACCATATTGTATCCCTTAAAGTTCACATTTTTTATCCATTAGTGTTTCTTTTTTCTTTTTGCTGAGAAAGGAAGAATGAATTTCAAATGGGGTCAATCTCAACTATCTTATAGTTTCTAGCCCAATTCTTATTTTGGTGAGGTTTTGGGGTCAATATAAGATCATAATTGTTCTATAATAAAAATAAAATAACTTTTATTTAAGGTGAATATTTAATATATTAATGATGTATAGTTTTGTATAAAACTAATAAATCAAACCATGCTATATTTTAAACTATAAATTCAAATAAGTTTAATTTTAAAAAATCTTATGATGATTTGTTAATAATCAGTGTTGTAAGAGGATACATATAAATAGCGATGAATATAAAATTTGAATCTAACGAGTTTTGACTCAATCTTATAGGATCAATCTTTTTTGGATAAATAATCGGACTCGAACCAATTTTCTTTAAATGATTAAATAGGTAAGATTTAGAGTGAAAAATATTTGATCCAACCTTACCCTACCCCAAATAATTGTAATGATACTCCCCTCTCACTATATTTTTTAATTAGAACCTGATTATATATATATATATATCTGGGTTAAAATCAACTTACATCTAATTTTTAGTTTTACAGATAAATCAAATGTTGAATTAACCCCTTTTTCCCCAATGAATATCTTCACATTTTCTACCGTTAATCTCAACATTTGATTTTCCTCATCCAATGATCATAAAAATGTGTAAAATTAAAAGTTTTACATTTGGTGTAATTAGATCATACCCCTATATATAAGTTTTACACCAATTTATAGCCATTGAATTTAAATAAATAAATGACTTAAATTTAATCAAAATTTATAACTTATAAAAAAATATTTTTTTAACTCACAATAAAAAAATATTTTATCTTTCTATGTTATGATTTAAGATTTAAGTTTTAGGTTTAAGATTTGAGGTTTGGTATGGGTTTCACATGGTAGGACCTCTCGATTTGCATATCTGCGCTCTGACTCATCCTACAACATAAATTCAACGTGGCACGTGCAGTTTTGAATATAAAAAAGTTCAACAAATAAACTGCAGCTTTCATCATATCACTGCAAATAAAGTGGAGATTATAGTGTCATATATGCAACAGAAAGCGACTTCTTCGTTAAGAAAACAACAATCCACATGGGAGCCAAACTAATATATCCATAAACAAAGAGAAGTATCCAATTTCCCATGATGAAAAAGGAGATGATTCAATCCACTTTCCGGAAAACAAACAGATATGCTGACACATTATGGCCTGTAAAAACCTCCTATATAAGCCCTAATGAACACCGAGTTGCAGCACAGAAGAAGAAGAAGATAAGAATCTGAAAGAAAGAAGAATGGGTGACATGCAGATAGTTGCAGTAGCTAGCAAGAAAGTGGAGCCGCAGTACGTGGAGATGATGGTGCCTTTGTATTCTTATGGATGCGAGAGGAAAGTCAAGAAGACTTTGTCCCATCTCAAAGGTATTTCCAAATCATCTTTCTTAATGATTAACATTAAAAAAAACCATTGCCTTACACGATTGGTCTTGGTTATGGGTGCAGGCATATACTCGGTAACAGTGGAGTATGAACAACAAAAGGTGACGGTGTGGGGAATCTGCAACAAACACGATGTTCTATCGACGATGAGAAGCAAGAGAAAGGAAGCTAGGTTTTGGAAACCAGAAGACAACGTGGAGATGCATGAGGATGAGGCGGAGCCGTCGCCACCTTCTGTTACTCGTAAGGACTTCAAGTTCAACAAGCCTTCATTGGCATTGATGAAGGCTCGATCTCTAAGCTGGAAAGCATGGAGAAAAGTATTTACCCGATCTTATTCTTTCTAGTTAAGGATTGGTATTACATATGCGAATGCATGCATGCATGCATTTCCAAAGTAAGGGAAGTGTAAATGTGATTTCTTAATTAAGCGTTTCCTCCCTCACTTTTGTAAATAAATGGCGGGGTTCAACATTTTCGGCCTTTTCAATTTCTCATGGAAACTTGGTACCCAAAATGTCCAATGAATTAAAGCATCTTGGTGACCCATAAATACCAATCCTTTTAGACAAATTCACACATGATTAATGAACACAAGATGATCCCTAGAAATGAACATTACGGTTGCATGGTTGACATCTTTGGCCGTGCATTAATCTCTTGAGAGAAGGTGTTGAGATTGTAGAGACAATCCCATTGCACCCAATGTGGTCATTTGGGGATCCCTCATGTCTGCTTGTCGAATTCATGGTGATACTGAATTAGGAGAATTTTCTATGCCAAAAAGCTACTTGGGCTTGAGCCAGATCATCATGGAGCTCTTGTGCTACATTCAAATATTTATGCCGAAGAGGCTTAATTAAAAAATAAGTCTGCAAATTAAATTTTTATTTACTTTAATTTTTTTTGTTAAGTGTTTAACACTTTTTTTCGTTATCAGTTAAGGTATTTGACGATTAACGACCATTAAAAAAAAGTTCATCAACTATTAAAAACATGACACATGTTGAGTTTATAAATTTTTGGAATGTCGTTTAAAAATTTAAAAAAAAAAACCAGCTCCTGCAATTTTTAATTCTAAACCCTCATTTTCGTTGTTAGTCATCGTCGACCGTTGTCGATGTCCTCAAATAGCCACCCACCCATTGACTGACTCGCCTTTGTCGTCGTCTCAATCTCTTAAATCACTAAATTTAAAACCCTAAATCCTTAAAATTTTCGGTATCAAAATTTTTAATCCTCGATTCCTTTTCTCTCCAATTGTCTTTTCCCTGCTTATTGTTGGCAGTGATGAGTTTTCGATGATGGCGAAGGGGAGATTAGAGGGGGAAAGGAATTAGAGATTTAGGATTTGGATATTGGATATTGGAGCTTTTAGGGATTAAAACTTAAGAATTTAGGGATTAGGGGATGAAAAGGACGATGATCGATCAATTTATGGACGACAATAGATGGGTGGCAGTTTGTCGACGATGATAGCGATGATCGAAGACCGTAATGAGGGTTTGGAATTAGAGATTTATTTATTTTTAATTTATGAGAAATTTGAGGTTTTTTAAAATTTTTAAATTTTTAATATTTTTTAGAGTAAAATTTCAAAAAATAATATATAAACGCAACATGTGTCACACTTTAAGTGATTAACAGATATTCTTAACTGTCAATGGATCATACACTTAAAACAATAATGATAAAGAAGAAAATGTTGAACGACTGACATGACCAAAAAAGAAACTTTAAATATCTAATTTGTTCAAAAGAAACTTTAAACACTTAAACCAATAATTAATTGATTTACTGAGATGAAATATTAAATCCCTCAAATAAATTCAGTAGTTCAAATTCTGATGTTGTTTGTGAATGAAGAAAATTTGGTTGAAAAGGTTGGCATTCCATATCCAATACTCGATTTGAATTAGTCATTCGGATAGTCAATAATCTTAGAATTTACGAGGTCTGCCATACCTTCATGAAGTCAGTTTCAAAGGTGTATGGGTAATGGGAGGAAGATTATCGTCGGGAATAGGACAAGTTTCCACCATTACAGACATGGAGTTTGTTCTTGTAGGGACTACAGGTGATGTTTCCTAACACTTTTCCCTGCTGTTTGATCCCAAATATTGAAATCCTGTAATGGTTAAGAAATAAAAACTGTCTGTGATTGCCAATTGTGTCTTATTAAAAACTTGTTTTGAACGAACCCTTCTTGTCTTGTTCGACCTGTCTCATCGTAACCTACCGCATATTCTTGGACAACAATAAAATAACCAAATTTATCGCAACACACTAGCTTTTCCTATATATTTTATGTTCATCTTAGCTTCAGCAGCAAGTCAAGGTGAAATAAACATGGCTCCTTATCTTTAATCCTTATGGCTTACACCTTCCCCTTCCCTCAACTTGGCTGTTCAGTTTCAGAAAATCCCAGATTTTGTGCATCTACCATCTATGTTTCTGAATCTCGGATTCTTGTCGTATCCCCAGATTTTTCCAGTTTTCAATTAAACCTCTTAGGTTGTCGTTTTTCTCAAAGTCTCAAAAGGTTCCAATAATGTTCAGCCCCTCAAACGACAATGACATTCCACAGCATTATCACCTCACCTCACATGATATTATATACTTTCATCATTCATGAATCATGATAACAAACTAATCAACATGGTTTAACCCCATTTTTCTTCAACTATAAGTAGCTCGATGTTGGGCTGCCATGAATCATAAAGATCATCTGGTAGTGATGATTAAGATGAGTCCAAGCAAGCCAGCTCTAGTCTTTGTTATATTGTTTGTGGTTTTGATTTTTCATAGTGTTCATTCTCAGCTTCAAGTTGGATTTTACAAAGATACATGTAGCTCAGTAGAATTTATCGTCAAAGAAGAAGTGACGAGAGCGATTGTTAAAGATAGAGGACTTGCTGCTGCTTTGATGAGAATGCATTTCCATGATTGCTTTGTTAGGGTGAGTGAGCACTATGGCCATTTAATCTTTTATATATATATATATATATATATAATTAGATTCATTGATCAGTTTGATCTGTGACTCATAGGGTTGTGATGCATCGGTACTCCTCGACTCGACTCCAGCCGGCATGGCAGAGAAAGACTCCTTTGCCAATAACCCGAGTCTACGAGGCTACGAAGTCATAGACCGAGCAAAGGCTAGATTGGAAGCTGTATGCAAAGGAATAGTTTCATGTTCTGATATAGTTGCATTTGCAGCTAGGGACAGCATACAGATGGTAATCACATATGCATTCACTCTTTAATCAACTAAAATTCGTGACACTTATCGAATGTTCGCGCAGGCCGGAGGACTTGGTTATGATGTCCATGCAGGAAGAAGAGACGGCAGAACATCACTAGCATCGGAGATCATTGGAAATCTACCGTCCCCGACGTTCAACGTCGACCAACTGACGCAGATGTTTGCGAATAAGGCTTCACACAAGAGGAAATGGTCACACTTTCGGGAGGACACACACTCGGGCGGTCTCACTGCAGTTCATTCAGTGACAGACTATACAATTTCAGTGGTACATCAATGCAGGACCCGAGTTTAGATCCAAAATATGCAGCCAAGTTGAAGCAGCAATGCCCTCAAGGTAGCACGGATCCTAGCATAGTGGTGCCGATGACTTCGACTCCAAGCATCGCTGACTCGGGTTACTACGCCGACATTCTAGCGAACAGGGGCTTGTTCACATCGGACCACACGCTGCTAACGAGCCAGGGCACGGCAAACCATGTGGCGGAGAATGCAAGGAATCCGATCAAGTGGAAAGCCAAATTTGCAGCTGCGATTGTGAAGATGGGGCAGCTTGATGTCTTGACGGGAACCGAAGGGGAGATTCGAGCCAACTGTAGGGTGATCAACAGCTAGAGAGATTGATTATTAGTATAAAAAAAGTTAGATGGAATTAGAGTGAATTTCAAGTTTATTTTTAAAGCTGGATGTGATGTGCCATAATTTTCTATATTGAAATGGAAATGTTTGATTGAGCAACTTTATTGAATTTCAGATTTTGATTAACTTAACTAAAGCATGTCGGATGGTGAAATAGATTATCAAGGAAAATGACAACCATATTGTCCTTTATCAGATAATACAATCAACGCGTTTCAACTTTGAATATTGCAGTGACACGAAGTGAGAGGACATTTTGGATGTGCTCGGGTCGTAAATGTCGTTAAATTTATCCTTTAAGTAATATGTGTCTCAAATCTTTAAAAATCTTAAATCCTTAATTTTAATCCGTCGACGTAGTGTTTGTAGGCCACAGTCACAGCCGCCGACGTAATTCTTACCATCTTCTTAGTCATACGTCGCATACTTACCGTCAATTGGTTGTGGGGATCGCATGAGGTCACGATTTGCAACATCGGGTTCGTCAGGGTACACACGTCGATTGGCTACAATTTCATAAGGTTATCGATCATCGGATGGAAGTGAGATCCGGTAGAGGTTCGTCGATGACAAAGGGCGATGATCGGCGTGAGTTTTGGGATTAATTTGAGGGTTTTCAAGAGTTTTTTTTAAAGTGTTTCAAAATATTTGTGTTTTTTAATATAATTTTAAATTTTTATTTTAAAAAAAATAAAATTATCAAAACGTAACATGTATCACTCAACATAGAAATTTAACAACAGTTACAACCTGAACACCTAAAGTGATAACGTTTATAACATCATGCACCTATCTGATTAAAAAAAATTAAACATCTATTTAGGAAAAGCAATATAGTTTGAATACTTATTTTATAATTAAACCTTATATAAATCATCATTCAATTTTCTTCTCATTCCAGATTTAGTCACTAAACTTTAAAATTTTTCATTTTAACCACAACTTTTGAACTGTTCTTGTTTTAGTCGCCATCCGGAATCGACATCCAAGACTGGTGCTGGTGCCACCAAGGAGCTCGCCCGTCGTAGCAAGGGCACCTTTCGCCGCCTCTGCCTTCAGCCTTGGTGACTGTGGCTTCATTTTCGCTGCTAACTGGACTGTCATTCATTAGTCTCATTTCCTTTCTTTAGAAGTTTTCTTTTTAAAAAGTTCAAGACTTAAAAATTCTTAGGTCAGCTTACGCAAAACATATTTGAACATAGAATCAATTACTTCTCTCTTTTGTTTGCAGAATCAATTTCATCAAGTATTTGCATCTCTAATGTCCTCAAATATCAAACCATACATGAAATCATTTGCTGCAAATTATCTACTACCAAAATTGCAACAGAACTTAAGTCCCAAAAATGGGCACAAATTTCTTATAGAAATGGGCAAGGAAACAATCAGTTGCAGATACACCGATGATGAGGTTCCGAGAAAATAATCTAAATTTCAAGAGAAATAAA